TTTATCACCAACAGAAACAGGGGCTTGTTGAAAGCTTCGTTTCCAAATATGTTGTTTAGCAGTTGAGACAAAGCTTTTGGCATATTTGTGCAAAACTTATGAAATGGGAATCCAGTGAGACTTCAAGTATCTCATCTTTCACAGCCCCACAGTGAAGTCCAATTCTTTATTTTGGCCACCTGTGGCTTAAAGGCTTCTGTCTTGTGCATTAGTGGGTTTTTTGTTAGTTTGTTTACTTCAATACCATGGTTGTGTTGTCCTAAGTTTCCTAGAAATACCAGAACCGAGCAGTAACATACTTTACCTGTTAGAAAAATAACTACTTGTTGACTGGGAAAATGACGTGGTAAATTGAAACATGACCTTTTCTCAGATAGAACCAGTGTTGAAATTTCTTTAGGCCTTCTTCAGAGAGACTTGAACGTGGACAGGGTTACTAATAACAAAATCATCACGTAGTTCTTTTAAACAGTTGCTTTTAACGTGACTACACAGACACTTCGGTGTCGAAGCGGGAATTACCTTCCCTGCAGTTTGCAGTTCAACAGGGGGGTTTCTTTGCCTGCTGGTTTGTAACACTGTCCACACTTTCTGCTGCCCCAGGTGAGATTGCTCTGCTGATGAACCGTCCTCGTGCTGCCACAGTCGTCGCTCGTGGCCCCTTGAAATGTGTGAAGCTGGACCGGCCCCGGTTCGAGCGTGTCCTGGGCCCCTGCTCGGACATTCTCAAGAGGAACATCCAGCAGTACAACAGTTTTGTATCACTGTCTGTCTGAAACCTTCCTCCCTGTCCAAGCCATGCTTCACGAATGCAGACTGCTTTATTTCCCTTGTGCAGAGCCACGTTGCCACTGGCATTTTGCAGCTTCCTGTCTGGTTTAAAAAAAAAAAAAAAAAAAAGAGAGAGAGAGAGAGAAAGAAAAAAAAAAAGATAAAAAAATTAACTGCTTATCATGGCACTGTCATTAATTTAGGGCATATTATTTCTGTGCTCTCTTGTCCCATTAAATTAATAGCAAAAGTTCTATGGAGACGTTTGCTTCTCTCTGTGCACCAGTGTCCAACTCAGGCCAGGGCAGCCTTGCTTCAGCGAGGGAGAGACCTCCTGGCACCACGCCATTGCCATAGAGTAAGGAGGTGATAGGAAAGGGAGGGGAAAAGAATCCTTGTAAAGGTGTTTCTCAAATTGTTGGACAGGTTTTAAGGCTGTGGTCATCACCTGCTGTATTTCTTTTCACATGAGAACTTGCCCTTGTAATTGAGCTTCTTGGGGCTTGGGGTTTTCTGGGTTTCTTTTTTTCTTTTTTTTTGTTTTTGTTTTTTGTTTTTCATTTTCTGGGTACTGTAATCCTGGGTTCAATCGTGAGGCATCAGCTGCTAAGAAAGCCACAGCTGGAATTTACCAGTATAATTGTACCTGTGTCCACTGGTTTAAGATTGCTTAGTTCTGTTTTTGTCAAGTGTAAATCAAAAGCTTTCAAGGTTTAATAGTTCTGGTGAACTACTGCAGTTGTTAATTCATTTGCTGACTTGCTGCACCTGATCTTTTTCTCCTGTTGTTCCTTCAGCCATAAATTTGCCATTTAAAACTCTTCCTGTTCCAAGTGGCAAGAACCAAATGTTACATTCAATGCCTGACTGGTCTCTAGTTCATAGATTGGTGTAAGAATGTGCAGCTGTCCAGCTGTTAGTAATGTTTTGAGTGCTTAGATTGGTGTAGAAGTCGAAAGCAAACATTTGATTTTCCCTGTGACTTGTTTTGTTAATCCTCAGTTGACTTTAAAAATAATCATCATCAGTTCAGGTGACCCTTTGTTACCAGGGAAAATAAATGCTGAGTATTTCTGGCCAGCATCAGTTGCAGGTGGCTGGTCTGTAGAGATCCATCATTCTTGGTAGAGAATGTGAGGCAGAAAACCAGAATGTTTTAACTTTCCTGCAACACTCCATTGTTTTAAGTTTTTAAACCTGTCAATTCATTTTTTTTTTTAAATGGTTTATTATAAACCTAGTTTGAATCCAAGAGGTGTTTGGATTTCTTTTCTTGCTTATGGAATTTCCACCACACGTGTTTCATACTCCCTTTTTTTTTTTCTTTCCCCAAGTTCAATCTGTTGCCGAGTCTTAAATGTATTTCAGTATTTCCCAGCTTTGTGTTCCATTACTCTGTGTGCACCAAGACTTCCCAAAAGTTTTTACTGGATTCCACGGTTCAATAACTGTAGGCGATTTTTAAGGTTTCCTTTAAACTGTAATTTATATAAAGTAGCATAGGTTTGTATTTGGGAGTGACAGCAAGCAGTTTGGCATTTGTTGTGCAACTACTCTAACGATGGAGCCCTCGTTTTATTTCCTTTCTGAGGTGATAGGGATTCAAATCCAACATTCTCCCATCAGGAAGAGTCTGCTCATTGATGCAGAATAATACTGAAGGTATCAAGCCTTTACAAAAGGTTTCAGAGCATTTCTGAACCTGAAATCCCAGGAAGGGGATTGAAATGCTTGTGGTTTTGAGTTCTCTATTCAGGAGATGTTGAGTAGAGGATTTCTGCCAGAGTCCTTAAGGAATAAGCAAAAGCTACCTTTTTTTTGGTTCTTTGTTTTCTTTGTTTTTGGTAAAAAATTTTTCTTTAGTTTTGACTCTCTGCAGTTTTTTTTTCTTCATATGTGTTCTTTGTGTTACATTAAAGCACCAAAAACTGTGTAAACCAGTTAGAGCTCCACAGAAAAAAAAAATGCACATTTTTTTTATATAAGGCTTTCTAATCAAGTTTCACTACTGCATCTTTTTAGCTTGCTGTTTACTCCCTTTTGTAGTTTTACCTACAAGATTTTAAGATAAATCAGCTAAGTCTGAGTTAAATATTAAACACAGTTATAGCTTTACCTTTGTGTGCAATTTCAATATGTTGGAAACCACAATTGGCATAGTTTTGCCTTAGCTAACATTCAGGGCTTTAGAAGTAATTTTTTGCTAGTCTATCTTCAGCAAACTGATGAAGTCTATTGCCCTAGGAAGCTATAGTCAACCAGAGGACCATTTTTGTATTGTTACCTGACTCTATAAGTCTGATTTACTGTATGTGCTAATATATTATATTATATTCCTTTTGTTATAGATTGTCCTAATGGCAGGTAAAGCAATAAAATGATTTAAATTCTTAAATGCAATCAGTCTCTTTTATTTTATTCCCATCCCTGCATTGTGTTTTCCTTTGGCTTTAGAGGATGTGTCATGAATGAGGCAGTAGAAACTAAGCAGCTTAATGGATTAGTTTGGTGTTAACTCCACAGGGTTGAGTCCAGGTCCTGAACCTTCCCCTCGGAGCCTGTGGAGAGCTTGGTCTCCATGTGCCAGCCTGGGAATTCCTCTGGAGCTCTGGCATGACTGATTTTTTGCAGTGAGAAGGCCCTTGTGTGTCTCGTTTGAGTGTCTCAGCTCTCGCTTGTGCTGCTTTGATCTCGTCCAGTTGGTAATTCCCAGCCCAGACACGATTATTGGAGCTCAGAAACTGCCCTAAATTGGCCACTCCCATCTCTGAAAACCCTTAATGAAGGTTTGGAGCACGTGGTGATTAATCATGGACGAGTTCTGGTGGGCAGCCAGTGGGAAGGGGAAGAGGGGGATTTTCAGCTGTGATGAAGGAGGGAAACATTTGAAGAGTGGTGACCTGAAGCAGCTCAGACTGGATGTGTTTTAAACATCCAGCTCCGAGGAAGATGGATCCTGACTGGATCACCAGAGTTTGAAGATACATTAAAAATTTTTACTGAAATTAAAAAATTTTAAATTAAAATAGATACATTAAAAATGTATCTATAATGTAAAAGAGAGTGAAAATGAGAAGAAAGCAACCTTGCAACCCTGTTAGTGTAGCAGCCATTCAAATATCCATGGGTTTGCTTCCTTCACCCTGCCCTCCCTTTCCCCATCCCCTTGACTGAAGAAAAAACAGGCTGAAACCAGGATTTTTATTACCTAAAAAACCCAGGCTGAAAGCAGAACTTCTATCACCTAAAGTGAAACTTGAAAACCTCCACTTCCAGCCTTATAACTATAACTATACAATATATAACTATAATGTTACTTTTAAGCTTGTCTTCTGTTGCCACATTTTTCCTGTTGGAGCAGCCAACAGTCACCATCCCCTGACAACAATCAGTTAATTTGGGGCTCGTCCTGTGTGGTGAGAGCACAAAAAGTCACCGGTAGAGGGAGATAAAACTTTGGGAATTCATTGTGCTGTTCTGAAAAAAACAACACACTGAACATGCTGAGAGGGAGTTAAATCCTCTTATTTTCATCTGTCCACAGGAGTGGAAAGGTCTGTAAGTCCCCAGTGTCAAGAATTCTGATTGAGGCTGTGGAAAAGCTGGAAACTGAAATACCTATGATAACCCTTCACACTTTTTTGGTCTCCAGTTTCTATTGCATCTCCTCAAAATGCATGGGGGTGCAGGGGGCAGGACACTGTTTCTATTTTCCAGGGAATTATGACAACTTAAATGATTTTAAAGTTATCATTTAAATGATTTAAAAGGAGATGACTTGAGATAGATCCCCCCCCCCCTTTGGCAGAATGTTTTCACCAGGAATGGGTGGGTTCCTGAATCGTAAATACAGTCGTGTGTCTCAGAGCAGTTTGATTTTTGGGGTTGTTTTTGGTTGGCTTGGGTTTTTTTTTTCCCTTGGGGTCAAAGGCAACACACACCTGCCTCTCTTTTGTAACCCAGACTGGCTCTTCCACTCACGAGACAGGTAAAAGAAGTGGTTTTACTGCTGTGTGAGGCAATGGGCTTTGGGTGACAGGCACAGATGGAGGTGGAGTGGGTTGATCACTGATGAAGAGACCAAGAGGCAGCACAGAGCTGATGGTAAGTGCAGGTGCTCCTTGGTCTGACCAAGCTGAGTCAATGTGTTATCTTGTCTCAGTGGCAGGCACTGCCTTTGTGAAGTAATATTGCTCTTTTCTCACACACAGTCTTGATTACAGAACAAATAAGAGGAAAATGCTCCTGGCATCTCTTTATTCAACCCCCATCCTCGGATCTATTTGTGTCCTTCACCGGGACCGGCATCCCTGTGCAAGCTGAGCAAACCAAGGCCGTGTGTTCCCCCACCCTCCCAAGGGCAGGACCAACTCCAGAACAGCAGATCACTGCTTTTCCACCACAGAGCTGGTGTTTGGGGTGCAAAGATCTGCTGCAGTCACACCAACACCCCGGCCAAGCACAGCAGCTCTGGTTGAGCACCAGCACAGGAGCCCAGTGCGATTCTTGAGGATCTTCTGAAGAGTTTCCCCTCCCAGTCTCTGCAAGTGTTTGCAGGTGGAAATCACCAGCTTTTAAACCCTGCCACTTGCCTTGCAGGGGTTTTCCCTACCTCTGAGCACGAGTTCAGGGCTGTTTAAGTGTCCAGCTTCGCTCTGTCTGACGCAGGAGCCTGGGGCTGAGTGGTGTCGTTGGCCACCACAGTGGCTTCTCCATAGGTGTCTATGCACTTCCTCACAGCTTCCAGGATGAGCTGCAGCCGCCTGTCCAAGGCCAGGAGATGGGGCTCGGTGAGGATGGGGGCCAGGGGGTCCTGCAGGAGGGATTCCCTCATCACGTCGCTGAGCCGATACTTGGGCTCGGCCAAGAGCTGGAGCCGCAGCAACGTCGTCCTCTTGATTCTGGAAAAAAAAGGAATTGGACACCTTAATGCAAACCTCTTGCAGCATCCCAGGAAAACCCAGCCCCCTGGCAGCAGGGGAAGGAGGGAGGGCAGAGGTGGGTGAGGAAACTTAAACATTTTTGGAACAATATCTTTCCCTTTTGGAAGGAAATGAAATTTTTTGCAGAAACCTCTGCTTCTTCCTTTGTTTTTCCAGAGTGTTTGTACTGCTCATTTCTGTCACCAGAGAGGAAAACATGACTGAAGTTCTCAGTAGTGAGTGTTTTTCCTCTGAGTCAGAGACAAATCAGCTCCTCACGTTCCTGCAGGGTGGTGCCATGTCCCCAGGGATGACATTTATGAGATGGGAGCAGAGGGGGAGGTAAATGAAGAGGCATGAATGAGAAAATATCTTCTGTCAAAACCCTGAAGAAACAGAGGAAGTATTTCCTGGAACTGATGTAACTGTCACTTTTCACCTCGAGGTACTGAGATTTAAATATGATTTCCCTTTGACAGAAAACGGGATGAAAAGCTACAATCTTGGAACACTTCTGGGCACGAAACTAAGTATTCTGAAATCATTTGTTTAATCCTCAGCAGAAGTGTGTTGACTTCAGCATCTCTAATACTGGAATTAATCAGCGGTTTTAATTATTGCCCTTTAAATTCTGGAAACAAAGTGGTCCATGTTTGTGGAACCATTTGGATTTAGCCAAGCCAGAATTTTCAGATGGAAAAAAGGTGTAGTCAGATCCATTTTGGGCAGCTCTAGAATTTGCCTCTGTGTGGCTGTTGTTTACCCAGGGCATTGATTGGGAATGTTGATCTGGCTCTCTGCAGCTGTAACAGGCCATGTGCTGTTTGGGAAAGGGTCGTGGCTGTGCCTGGATGGGCAGCCACTGGGCTGTACCACGTGCTTGGGAGAATCATGGAATTGTTAAGGTTGGAAAAGACCTTTAAGTTCATCACATCCAACCATCAACCCAGCCACCACCATGTTCACTATTAAACCACGTCCTCAGGTGCCACATCCACACGTTCTTTGAACGCTTCCAGGGATGGTGACTCCACCACTTCCCTGGGCAGCTGTTCCATTGCTTTAAAACCCTTTCCACGAAAATGTTTTCCTAATATCTAACCTAAATTGGGAGCAGCAGAGCGAGGTGCGTGCCTGTGGTCAGCGATGCCTCCTGCACGAGGCAGGGGGGACAGTGCCGTGACCAGCTGCCACGGGGGGAAGCATCATCCCCCTGCATCAATATTCCTGAAAAAAAATGATCAATTGATCAAGTGTGAAGGCTGGCAACGAGGCTTCAAATCCCAGCTGTGAGGTGCTGCTGCTGCCAGAGGAGGCTGTGCAGGGAGCAGATGTGAAGGAGCATCTGTGCGCTGTCCTCCGAGGCAGCGCGGCGGCCGAGGAGCTGCTGTGGGTAAACACCAGCTGTGTTTGCTCTGCTCCCAGCAGTGACAGGGCTTGGAGGTGGAGAACGGGGTAGCCTGACCCCGTGGGGAAAGGCTGATTTAATGCTGCAGCAGTTGCACAACAAACAGAGCACGGAGAGGAGCGTGAGTTGGAAATCCTGCCGCCGGCCCCGCTCGGCTCCCACGGGGCGGCTGTGACCCCGTGGCTGTGCTGAACTGCTGAAGATTTCACCCAGAGCCTTCCAGGGACCTCATTAGGTTAAGTAGGGGCTGTTTTCAAGCCTGTCTGAGCCTCGAGGAGAGTTTTGACCCTTTCAGGGAAAAGACCATCTCATGGCACAGCTGTATTTGTGCCATTCACTGTGCTGGGAGAGGAGACCTGCAGGCTCCAACGTGTGGGACAAGGGCTGGGGTGGGAGTTGTGAAAGGCAGCTAAAAATACCAGATAAATCTGCTGGAAGCCAGACTTGGAGAAGAACTCAGCTGGGAAGGAGATGGATGTGTTTAACAGGGAAGGGAGCAGCTGTTCAGCATCCCCATGGTTCCAGTGCTCCCTCTGTCTGCAGGGGCTGGAGGAGTTTGTTCCTCCTTACATGTACACAGCTTGGCTTTGGGTAGGAGCAAGGAGGTGACTCTGTGGGCTGTGTCCAGGTCAGGGCAGGCTGAAATTTGTGGCCTCTGTGTGCTTACTCAAGTAGCCCTCTTGACTTCCCTTCCAAGCGCTTTTGGATGCTCCCCCACTCCAAATGGATTGGTTCTTGTGGGAAAAGAGGTTTTTGCGTGTCTCCCTCAGGCAGCACGAGTTGTTTTTACGCTGTTCTTGGTCCTGGTTGGTTTATGACAAGGTGCAGCTTGCAGGTTCTCTTACCACTGCCTTTTACAAGGAGAATTAAATTAAGAGCCCGTTTCTGGGAGGTGGATCTGGGAGAATGATCTGACCTGTGGATGTTACAGTTTGCAGATCAAAATAAGAGGCAGAGTTAATTTTAAACTGCACAAAATAAGAGCTCAGAAGGAGGATTCACTGCAAGCCTGCAATTATAAATGAAAAGGCTCCTTGGAGCAAATAACAGTTCTTAAAATTAGATCCAGTAATAGGGGTGTGTGGGGATAGTGCAGTTATCACCTCAAGGGTGAGTTGGAGCAGGTACAGCAAGGAAAGAGGTTACACATCTCCTAAAAAGAAACCCCAGAGAAGAGCAGCTTTTTCTGTCTCTTAAATTTCACTTTCAGCTGGTGATTCATGTGAATTAATAAAGGGGGAAGACAGGGTTCGAATAGTTAAATTTATGAGCTTCCCCTTAACGCCGTGGGAAGAGGAAACTTGATTAACTGCATCAAAGTTCCACCAGGATTTCAGATGGAGATTTCTGCACTTTCTGATAGCACCTCATGTTGATGGGCTGGGAAATGCTAGGAGACCCTTCTGGAAGGGCTTGATCCAATGGGCAATGTCTCCTGGTTTATCAGTGAATGCTTTTCCACTTGTATTCCCATGCTTCAGCGTCCAGCCTGCCCCTTGGCTGGGATTAGCAGGGTCTTCCCTGTGCTGCTGGATGGAGCCAGGCCTGGGTGACTTCCAGCAGCTCCCATTACAGAGGGAACACCAAGATTCCTGGGGAGGAAGGCGAAGCTGGCACTTACATGCAACACTGGGACAGCGGAGCCAGGATGGAGGTTTCATCGTGGGAATGCCGCCCAAACCTGGGGATAAATCAAAGAGCAGAGAGTTCAGTGCCTGCCCAGCCCCTTCCCCCCTCCCCTCCCTCCTCCTGCAGCCTCACCCTCTGGCATTGTCCAGGTGCAAGAGGAATCCATCGTCCCCAAACTTGGTGAACATTTCGTAGTGGTGACGGTCCATGTTCCCTGGCAAAGGGCAGACAGAGGAACAGAGTTTCCCTTTGCCTGTGACCTGGTGGTTTTCTAAACTACCCTGTGTTTTCTTTCAGGTCTACATGGAATATTTGTTGCCATGCTGGAAGTGTTTAAGATGCTCAGAGCTGCTGCTTTCACCTTGCTGGGGAGTGGGCTGGGGTGAGTCTGGGGGGTGCCCTGTGCCCCCACATGGGCTGTGGGGAGACAGCAGCCTCTCCAAACTGCCTCTGGAGCAGAAGGGATGGCCTTGAGAAACTCCATGGCATGGGAGAGAGGGCAGGAAGACTGATGCTGAAGGCCTACATGGAAGGAATGTCCTTCCCCCTCTATCATACCTATCAGGAAGTCAAAGATGGCCATGTCCACGATGTTGAGCAGCCGGTTGCCGTTGCTGTAGGGGTAGATCTCCCTCACTGTGTTGCAGTAGAGAGGATTCACTTCCCACCTGCAGGAGATGGAGAAGGGGGAGACTCACACAGTTGCTGCTGCTGTGTCCCAAGAGCCCCCCAAAGCCTGGAGTTAAACCCCCCTCCTTGTGCTCGCAGGAGGCTGGAATTCAAACCCAGCCAAGGCCCAGGCTTTGAGAGTTACTTGATTAATTATGGGCACCCTGAACCTTCCTGTGCCTGCACCATATCTGTCTGTGTGTCTGTCTCCACGTGCTCCCTGCAGCGCAGATATTATGGGAAGCAGCATCATTTACCCACTTACTCCTCTTTTCCATCAAACGAGTAGGAGCGGATCCAGGGGTTGGGGATGGAGAGCCGTGGTGCCAAGTTGAGGGAGGGCAGGAAGGCGGAGAGGGACCCTTCCAGGAGGTGAGGGTTCCCACACACCGCGTACTCCGTCTTGCACATGTAGGGGCACTTGGCAAAGAAGCAGACGTTGCTGGCTGGGAGGGGAAGAGAAAACAGGGAGAGGAGCTGTGATCTCCAGGACGCTGTGAGGTGGCCTGGGCTGACCCCTATCACACTGTGAGACAGTGACTGTGTGTGCTGTGACACAACCACCTCCTGGATGGGAAACTGTCAAATCAGGGGTTTTGTCTGATGGACAGACCTGGTCCTGCACCAAGGGAAAGGTCAGGAAAAGAGGGCAGATGAATAGATCTGGTAGATGATTCCAGCTGCAGGCTGGGAGAGGGACACCTCTGCTGTAACCATGTCTTTGTGCACCTGTTCCACCCAGGAATTTCACTTCTACACCACAGTGTGAGTCCTGCGGCCCCTTCTGCCGGCAGGTCCTGCCCTTCCTCCCACCACGGACCAACAGAGGTTTGGTTTGGGTTGGAAGGGACCTTAAAGACCACCTGGATCATCACTTGCCTCACCCCAGCTCGCAGCAGCCGAACGCTGGCCCACCTGGTGAGACGAAGAACACGCTCTGCAGGATCTCGTTCTTGGTGACCTCCAGGATCTCCTTGGTGACGTTGATCCACCTCCCAACCGTGGGTGGCACCCTCCGGAAATCCAGGATCCTGCACAGAGGGCACAGTGCAAAGGGACATTGCTGCACAGGTTGGCACAATGGGATGGCAGATGCTGCCCTCACCCCTTCTGTCGGGGAACCAGGAGCCTTCAGACCACTGTACCCATGTGGGTGGTTTTTTCTCCCAGCTTCCTTCTAGCAAAAAGCCATTTTGCCCCTCTGGGCCAAAATGTGGCTGAGTTTGGATTTTGGTATTTTAACAGCTGCTGCCTGGAACAATCTGGATGTTCTCCAGGATTCCTCTCTCTTTCCCTACCAGGTCTTGCCTCGGTTTCTCCCATCCCCTTGCACACAAGTGGGGTCCTTCAGGGACCAGAACAGCCATTCTACAGTGCTGGTTTGACACAGAGAAAAGATGTTGATCCTGGTACAACGTGGCTGAGGAGGCACCCCCCCCTCTCAGAGGCACTCAAACCCGGCTGATTCCTCTAAAATGTTCTTAAAAACCTCAGGGCCTGGGGCAGGAAGGCATTCCTGGCAGGGAGTGGGAAGCTGCTGCTGATTGCTGAGTCAGTAACACGGGGTGAACCGGCTAATGCTCTGCTTTGCTCCTTGGGTAATGCCCTCTGCTCCTGGGAATCGGGGACAAAACAGGATTTAGCCTGTTACTTATTGAGCAACGTTTAAAGGGAAAAAAAATATTTGCTTTCATCCGGCATCTTTCAGCTCTAAAAACCACGAAGCACTTCAGAAAAGCAGCCTGGCCTCATTTTTGTAGCGGTGGAGCTGCAGAGGGAGCTGGTGGTAGCTGAGTCAAGCAGAGTCACTGTGGTGATGTAGGGGCAGAACTGGGAAGGGAATTCAGCTCCCTTCTTTCCCTTGCTTGGAGTTTGAGCTACAGGACTTAGCCTAGTCCTGCTTATCCTCTAGGAATTAGAGACCCCCATCCACCATCACCATCAGGGATCACCTTCCCTTGATGTTCAGTGCTCATCCCACTGAGGGGAGAAAGGCTGCTGCCCTCATCTTCTGAGAAGGGTGTATTTGATTTTATTAAATAGAAACCCTGCCGGAAAGAGGTGCCAGGTTAATTGCTCATTAGCTGAGGGCTTAAAACTGCATCTCTGCAGTTTATCTCCATCCAAAGCACACCTTGATTGCTGATTGAGCGTGTGACTCCCTCATGGGAGGGCACCCAGAGCTCAGCATTGCACTTGGATGCAGGGGAGGGATGGTGTGTGTGTGTGTGTGGCTGTGTGACAGCCAGGTGAGTATCTGACCTGTTCCAACCTGGACTTCACCTGTTCTCATGCAGTGGCCAAGGCAAAGCTGCCTCCTGGGGGGGTCAGGTGAGAGCCAGAGCCGCCCCATCCCCAAATAACACATCAGCTCCCGGAGGGTGCTGCAGAGCAATCCCTTCCCTGAGGCTGAGCCCTGGATTTTCCCGTGCCAAAGCTCTCTGTGGGCAGAGGAGCAGGCCCTGGCAGCAGCAGGAGGAGGAGGAGGAGGCCGGTGCTGTGGCAGGTCCTCACCTGTCCAGGTGGAAGGCGGCGATCTCCGCGTTGTGCCGCTGGAAGTCAACGAAGTAGAAAAAGTCCTCGGGAGTCTCTTCCTCGCGTTTCTGCCTGGGAGGGAGCAGGGGGTGAACCTCACCCAGCTGCCAGGCAGCCTGGACACAGAGTGGTGGCACACAGGGACAGCAGGTGGGCTCAGGGACAGAGCTGCAGGTGCCCAGGCCAGGACCCAAAGTGTCCAGTGCCGAGCTGGAGCCATCGCCTGCTGTGCCAGGGAGCAGCACTGGCACCCTGTCTCAGTGCCAGGTGGGTGAGGGAGGCAGAAGGGCTGACTGTGGGCTTTAAATCTGCTTGTGCCAGAGCTTAGACCCCCTTGGGACAGTGTTTAAGGAGGGTACAGCATCAAGGGGTGCTGGAGGCTGTGCTGTGCCTCTCCTGACCCTGTGAGAGGCAGAGAAAGGCTCAGGTTCAATGCTGTCATATCCCTGAGGTGGGAAACCAGCTCATCTAATTCAGTTTTCTGGCTGCCACACAGTGGCCCAATATGTGCAGCACGTGGATTTGATGCTCAGCCTCCCAGGCAGCTGCATGGCACAGGAAAGCCCACGGGCATTGTGGAGCCCTCCTGGCTCAGCTGAGTGCAGGGATGCTTTCCTTCCCCTCCAGGACCTGTTGGACACTGATGGACACAGGGCAGAGGTGGATGGAAACCAAGAGGAGAGGAGCAGGCTGCCCTCAGGATGAGGAAATCACGCTGCCAGGTACCCTCCCCGTGCATGGACAGTGAAGTGAGGGGGAACAGACATGAAGAGTCTCAAGGGGCTGCAAATAAGTGCAGAAGCAATTTAAAACTGTTTGAGGTGAGCGGGACTGATGGCTGTTTCTTGGAAACACTCTTGGGAATCCAAGGAAAAAAACAAGGTAAAACCCCAAAGTCAGCTGGGGAAGAGGAGGAAATGAGCACTCCCTAACGGCAAAGCTCTCAGGAGAACAAGTGTCCCGAGGTCCTTTGCAGTCTGGCATTTGGGAACTGAGAAATTTCCAACATCAATAGCGGTGTGGGAACACTGGTGTTTATCCACGTGTGTTCCTGGGATGGTGTGAGCAGCCAAGAATAACTAAACCTGCTCAGCTGTCCAGGTAGCTGAGTGCAGCAGGGGGAAGGTGTGGCAGTGGTGTGGCTGTCCCTGCCAAGGATGCTCACACCCCTCACTCACAGCAGGGTTCTGCCTCTGCAGGGGGCTCAGGGGGCTCTGATGGTGCTCTTACCTCATGGGCTTGAACATGGCTTTCCCAAAATCCTGGAACCTGAGGACCAGCTTCAGGTGGACACCGCTGGGCTTCACGACTTGGGAAGGAAACAGGAGGTCAACGGGCTGGGCACACCCCAGTTACACCCTCCAGCACAACTCAGCTTTCCACCCCAGGAAGTGCATCCCATCACCCCCTTCCAGCTGCTCCTCTCTTTCTAGTTATTTTTCTTCTCCCCCCTCTCCCTTGTGCCACAGAGATTTCCTTCCAGCCCCTCTCCCAATAGCCATTTGTCACATTCCCCCTGGGGGCTCTTTCCTCCTCCCCAGTAGAACCCAGTGGTGTACCAGTGTCCTGGTACCCACATCAAACAGGCTGCTCATGGAAATGGTGGAATCATCATCCCTGGAAGTGCTCAAAAACCATCTAAACGCGGCTCTTGAGGACATTGCTTTAGTGGTGGGCTTTGCAGTGCTGGGGGAACAGTTGGACTGGATGATTTTAGAAGTCTTTTCCAACCTTAAGGATTCCATGGTCTACAATCCCAGCCTCTGCTGGGGTGGAGGGGTTTGATGGGAGGGAGAAGGGCCTGTCATTGCCTGGCTTTGCATTTCCCTGGCTGAGGCTGGGATGGAGGAGCTGGGGATGGGGCCAGCCAAAGCAATGGGGTGCAGGGGTGAGCCCCAAGTGTCACACTCACTCTGGCTGCAGTCACAGGCTCCCAGCAGTGCCTTCTCATCCTGGCTGTAATCTGCAAGGGCAGGAGCAGTGGTGAGACCCTGCTGGGCTCCGTCTCCAGCTGCAGACCCCCCATCCCAGGCTCCAAAGGTTTGCAGAAGGGATCTGTGGGGGCTGGGAGCCAGCTCCCAGCAGCCCCACCCCAGCTCCTGCGGCAGGAAGGTGCTCACCGGCACTGATGGTGGGGAACTCCTGCATGTCCCGGAGGAGCCTGTTAACAACGGGGCTGGAGCGTGGGTAGAGCCCATCCCTGCTGATGCCCAGGTGGAACTGCAGCCAGCTGGCTTCTGGCCGGAGCGGCAGCGGCGCCGCCGGGGAGGTCAGGTTGAGCTCCTCCCTGTAGAGCTTGTGTCTCCTGGAAGAGAGCAGTGACAGGGTGATGAGGATGAGCCACGGGGTGGAAAACCTGAGTGCTCCGAGCCTGGAGTCTGTTGGGGAGTGGGGAGGGTGCCTGGAGCAGAGCTGGAGGGATATGGGGTGGATAAGGACTCTGGGTGACACCCGAGGGGAAACTGAGGCAGGGAGCAGTGACTGAGATGGTCAGAGGTCTCACAAATTGTGCCACCTTCTGCCTCTAAAACCCTGGAAAGTGGCCTCAGGGAAACACAAGGGACTCTGTTGTCTTTTCCTCATCCCACCAGGACCTGGAGGGTATGACTGGAGCTCAGCTGCATCTCCAGCATCACAAAGAGCTGGTGTGGGATGGATGCAGTGCTTCCTAGAGGAACTACAGGCTCCTGGCCAGGTTTGAGGAGGGGAGGTGATGTGACAGCAGGTAACTTGGGTCTTGACTGCTCAGTGAGGTGTCTGGGAAGCCCAGGAGAACAACGGGGTCTTGTCTGTCCACAGAGGACAGTCTTTATAGTCATTACACCTCTGACAGAACTTTGTCCTGAAGCTGGAGGTCCCAGGCAGGGAAAAAAGTCACTGAGAGCCACAAATTGCAATTCCATGGGCAGATTCACAGCCCTCAGCTTGGTGAGCAGGGATGTGACAAGGCCACATCCTGCCCGTCGTCTCTTAAAATCAAGGTCCTACCCAGTCCTTTCTTGGCAGGTGGAGCTGAAGGGGCCTCCCAAGTTCAGTAATAATCCAAAACCACCTCTGCAATCAGTCAGCATTTTCCTCAGCCTCAAGACCTCCGAGGCTGGGACCCACACTCTGGAATGGAGAGGTCACTCATTCCACCCCAACAGTTTCCCATTAACTCCACCGGGGCCGTGCATGGAGCAGCCACTCCTGACAGAGGGAAAGTTCACTTTGCACTGGAAGCACCAGGACACCTCTGAAAGCAAACAGGAGCTGGGGGCTGAGAAGGAGTGGGACATTAACCAAAGCTGGGATGGAGTGGCTGGAGAGAGGGAAGTGCCACATGCCTGGCCAGACCTCAGCCAGAGCCTGAGCTCTGGGAAACACTGACCATTCACCAAGGCATTTATCACCAAGGCATTTATCATATTATTACAAAGGGCTCCTGGGTGGTGGTGGCTTTTTGTTTCCCTGCTCAGCCCAGCAGTTGGGGTTTGGTCGTGGTTTTTTTCCATCATCCTTCTCCATCCAAGCAGGTTAAACGGGGTGATTAGTCCAGGCTAACTGCAGGCAAGGGATGAACCTTCCGGAGGTGAGGGACATGTTTCAGTAGTATCCTGAGAAACATCTAGGAACTGGAGAGACAGGTTGTATGTACAGGTCACGGGAGCCTGTTCCCTCTCCCAGTTTGTTTGTCTTTCCATTGGACCAGGTCAGCCACAGCACGAAGTCCACGTGTGCGTGGTCAGAGGGAATGGTGCTGGAGCATTTCCCTCCTGCTCCAGCTCTTTGCTCAGGCTGTCTGCAAAGGAGGCAGAAGCCCCCCTGTGCACAGGGATGTGGCCCTGGAATGCTGTCAGCTCCAGTGGATGTCCCCTGACCCTTCCATGCTGCTGCTCTGCACCAGGTTTCCCGTGGACAGTTCTTTTGAGGCACAACCTTAACCCTCACCACAGCCAGGGACAATAAACCCCAGAGTGATGTAGGAGAATGACTCAGGATTTTTCCCTAGGGAAGCTGCCCAAATATTTTACCATATTTGCTCTCCTGCCTCCCATGCACACAGGCTGTTCCCCCGGGGTGGCAGTGAGCAAGGGATTACCAATGGGGAAAAAAATGCAGTGGTTATGCAAGGGGAGGCAGATCCCAGCCCTGCACCCACATGGGCCCTGCCCCGGGTGAGCCAGCCCCTTCCCAGCCTTTAAACCCAAAATACAGCTCCCTCTGCCTCCCTGTTTCCTTCAGGATTCCTGAAATATTTCCCTGTAAAAACAGATCTCTGCAAAAAAGGCATAATGATATAAAAACAGGGTTCATTTTTACCCTGCTATAAATAGCTCCAGGGTTGCTCTGGCTCTCAGCTGGGCTGGGGGGGGCTGAGGGTGAGGTGACACTGGGCTCAGGCCACCAGTGCCCTGAGTTTGGGGTTTTGAAGCTGCTCTTTCAAGGGTAAAAATAATCTCTGGAGTTTTTAAGGGTTCTGGGGGTTTTTTTTGGTTTTGAAGAGGTGTGGATGGTTTTTTTTGCCGTTTCCTTCCTGCATCCCCATCAGTCTCTGCAGCTGGTTCTGCATCCTGCAATCAAACTCCTGGTCCTGATTGAAGTGCTGGGGAACAGCACAGTGATGGGCAGCAGCCAGAGAGCTCCGTGGAGGGGGACAAGCACTGCTGTGCTCCCCTTGGCCACGGGTATCCGAACGGGACGTGTCCTGGGGCCACTCCAGGAGCTGGCAGAGTCCCCGTGCAGATGATGTCCATCTGGCTGCAGAAATGAAGACAGACACGCTGTGCTGGAGGTTAAGCTGCAGCTTGTTCCACTCAAGAGGAACATCCTGCTGCTCCAAAAGCTGCTCTGCCAACAGCCAGACCTACGGGTGATGGAGAAATGTGTTGTCACCTCGTCACCTCTTCACGCTGCAGGAGAGGATCCACATGGACACTCAGCTCTCACCCTCTCCTGCCTGGGTGTGGAGCTGCTGTGGAGTTTGCTCTTCAGTCCTCGACAGCAGCAGCAGCTTTGCTAAACCCATGGATTGGGAGGGAAAGCCATGGATTCCTGACTCTCACGAGGACACTGCCCTTGGCTCTCAGCAATTACAGGGATGGCTCCTTCCCTGACCACGTCGGAGAGGACACGGGCTCTGCAGTGCTCCTGGTGAGGGAGGAATTCCTCCATCCCCACAGCAAACTGACGGAACTGACGGTCTTCTGAAAAGCACCAGCCCTGGCAAGTGCCACCTGATTCTCTGTTGAATTTGCAGCCCCAGTGGTTGCTGGCAGGTCGTTGCAGAGGCCACTTTGTGTCACCTCGGCCTGTCCGTGCTCCCCGCAGGTTTTACCCATTTATGAGCACCACATATTTTATTTCAAAGTGACTGAGGAATAATCAATACCCTGCCTCCCCTTCCTTCCTGGAGGAGCAAAGCGAAGTCAGTCAAGGACAAACGGCACCACGACGTTCCTCCCGGACACATCACAACCAAAACCTCGGAGCAGGAGGGAATGTGCAGCCACGGCTTCGTCACAAACACCACGTTTAGACAAAGTGGTAAATAAAATTGGGCAATGCAGACTTCTACCTGAACAGCCAGGGCTGTCCTGCAGGTGAGGTGTGGACACAATGCCAGCGCTGCAGAAAGAGCTCAGCACCAGGGGCTCAGGGCTTCTGACAGTGCAGCCATCAAGCCGTGAGCTGTTTCAGTTTAAATCCCCCGTTCCCACCAGGATTTTTCCTGGGAAATGTCCATCTTGGGAAATGTCCATCTTGGTACCCAAATCCTGATGTCTTCAGGAGGCACTGCTCAGCTCTGAGAAGGTGCACCCAAGGCGGGACTGTGGCACAGCCAGGGATGCCCAAACCCATCATCCACGGACTTTGAGTGATGTGATGAAGGATCCAACGTGCTCCAGACTGACTCAAGCCAGGGAAGAACCTCGTAGGGGTGATCCTGACTGAGCACACAGGGTAGTTCCAGACACTGGACCACGGAGGTTGTTCTTTGTTTCCTTCCATTAACACTTCCCATCATCTCCTCCTGTGAGTCTCACACGGAACCAGCACTGGGTGAGTCCCACAGAAATAGCAGGGAGAGGCACTGAAGTGGAGAAAGTGGGAGCTTGGGAATCCTGCTCGCTCAGCTCAGCAAACATCAAAGAGGTGGCAGGAGGAGCAGGGGCCGCTCTGGTGCTGGAAACCAAACTTGGGCAGTGGGGAAGTTCCAGGACAGGAATCCCTGAGGTGGTCCCTGGGAAACGCTGCCGTCCCCTTGCAGGTGAGGTGGTGCTGTGAGCACTGGGAGCTCCATGCTCTGTTATATCCCAGTTTGTACATGAATGGAAAAGCTGTTGGGGTGCAGGGAGGAGCTGGGGGGGTCCTGGGGGATGCTGAATGTTTCCAGCTTGGTCCCAGCCCTCCTGCAAGGGGGGTTAGATCAGGGGTCCAGGGCCCAGCAGTCGGATCATGCTCACGTGGTTGATGTTTGGAGTTGGTGCTGAAGGTCACTGTCACTGTCCCCCTGCTTTGTGACAGTCCCACCCCAAGGGTAGGAGATGGGGGAGTTTTCCTGCAGCCGTTGCTGGGGCTGGGAGAGGCAGCAGGAGGAGGACTGAGCTGGGGATCCCTTTCCCTGGGAATCTGTCAGCAGGGATGGGCAGGACACACCCCAGGAAGGTGCCTCCCAGCTCTGCCCAGCTCTGCCTGTCCATGGGGGGCTGGTTGTTGGGGAGGGGGGTGATGGAGAGGGCAGTGGGGCAGAGAGCCAGAAATGGGGTGCAAACTCGACTGGGGGTGCCAGGGGACACCCAGGGGGTTCTGTTGCCATTCCCAGGCACGGAATGCTTAAGCAGGGGAGGGGTGGCTGGGAGAGCTGAGGTACCTTTGCAGGAGGTGCCCATACAGGGAGTGCCTGGCAAGAGTGCACCCAGGACATGCCAGTGCAGGGGCACCTGTACAGGGGGTGCTCAGGAGGTGCAAGAGCAGGGAAGGTGCCTGGGAACGGGGTTCCCAGAAAATGCCTGTGCAGGAGATGCACTCACAGGGGGTGCCCAAGAAAGGGGTGCCCAGGAGATGCCAGGGAAGTGTGTTCTCATGCAAAGGGAGCCTGAGAAGAGGGTGCCCTGGAGATTCCCGTGCAGGGATTGCCTGGGAAGGTGGTGCTGGCATAGGGTGTGCCCAAGAAACGGGTGCTCAGGAGATTCCCGGGAAGGGGGTACCCAGAAAAGGGGCACCCAGGAAAGGAGTGCCCAGGAGACGCCCATGCAGGGGGTGCCTGGGAAGGGCATACCCAGGAAATGCCCAGGAAGGGGGTGCCTGGGAAAGGGGTGCCCAGGAGATGCCCGGGAAGGGGATGTCCATGAAAGGGGTGCCCAGTAAGGGAGTGCCCAGGAGATTCCCAAGAAAACAGTGCCCAGGAGATGTCCGGGAAGGGGGTGCCCATGCAAGGGGTGCCCAGGAAATGTCCATGAAGGAGGTGTCCGTGAAAGGAGTGCCTGGGAAAGGGGTGCTCAGAAAAGGAGTGCCTGCAAAGGGAGTGACCAGGAGGTGCCCGCGCAGGAGGTGCCTGGAAAGGGGGTGCCCGGGAAGGGGGTGCCCAGGAGATGCCCGGGAAGGGGGTGTCCATGCAAGGGTTGCCTGCAAAGGGAGTGACCAGGAGACGCCCGCGCAGGAGGTGCCCGGTGCGGGAGTGCCCAGGAAAGGGGTGCCCAGGAGATGCCCGAGAAGGGGGTGCCCATGCAAGGGGTGCCTGGTAAGGGAGTGACCAGGAGATGCCCGCGCAGGGGATGCTCGGGAAGGGGGTGCCCGCGCAAGGGGTGCCCAGGAGATGCCCGCGCAGGGGATGCCCGCACAGAGGGTGGGGTGCCCGGCGCGGGGGTGCCGCGGCGGCGGGACGCACCTGTTCCAGCGAGCCGCCTTCCGCCGGTAGTAGCGCAGGGCTTCGCGGGCGCCCAGCAGCGGCTCGGCGGGGCCCGGCGGGGCGGTGCGGTACAGCGGGTGGGCGAAGAGGCGGCGCAGCGCGGGGGCGGCGCGGGCGCGGGGCGGCGGGCGCGGGCCGGGGGTCCCGGCGGAGGAGGAGGGGGGGCGGCGGCGGCAGGGGCAGCCCCAGGGGGTCGGGACCCTCTGCCCTTGCAGCTCCCGCCGCGCCCGCGGCCAGAGGTGGAAGTAGAGGTCGGCGGCCAGCAGAGCCCCGAGCAGCAGCAGCACGGCCGGGCGGTCCCGGCGCGGCCCCGGCATGGCCGGTGCGGGAGCTGCGGGGCAGGGACGGGCACGGGGGACGGGGGACGGGGACGGGGACAGCGCCGGGCGCGCCGCCGCCGGCTCCCGGGGCAGGGCGCACGGGGGAGCTCGAGCGGCGGAGCCGGGGGGTGCGGGCACCTCGGGGCGGGGACCGGGCTGGGCTGCTCGGGGCCCGGGGCGGGGGGAACGGGAGCGTGGGAGTCACCCCCGGCGAGGGGTGCGGGTGGCGGTGCCGGCGGGGGGGATGCTCCCGAGGCGGTGCCGGGGACCGAGCAGAGCCGCCCGCCCCCCCGGAGCACCGCCCGGCCGCCCAGAGCAGCCCCCCCCCGGGGCAGGTGGAGGGTCCCCCCCGCCCTCGGCTCCTCCGGGGGCTTCGTCCCCTCTCCCGAAAGGTGGGAAGCCCTCCCGGCGGAACCTTTGGCAGGAGCTGGAGGGCGGCGGGTGTCGCTGCTGCGGGGGCTCGCGGTGGGTGCGGGGATGGGGCGCTCGAACACCTCTGTGTGGCTGCGGGCTGAGCCCCAGGGGGGTCTGTCCCCCCACAGCCGGGCTGGCGGCCCTCCCGCCGTGCTCTCCGGCGGATGGTTCAGGCGCCGCTTGTATTTTCTTAATTCCTAAAAAAACCTCATATAGTTGAGGAAACTCCTCCCTGCAGTTTGCTGGGAGAGGCTGGGCCGTGGGGATGTGCTTGGGCTGGGACCCATCGGGCTCATCCTGGAGGGATGGAGAGCCCGGCTTCAAGCGGGGTGGGGAGCCCAGCAAGGGGCAGGTTGGAGAGCACCAGGCCAAGGGAGGGGAACGGAGGAGAAACTGGCTGTAAACAAGGGGAGCGTGACCAGACTAGCCTGGCTCCAGCACCGTGCTGAAGGCAGAACAAAAAATAAACTGCAGAAAAAGTCAATTATGTTTTCAGCTGGCTGGAGCAGGGCTCGGATCTGCGTGCAGCACGGCCAGGGGAGGCTCGGGGAAGCGTCCTGGGATCAAGGGGTTGGGACTGTGCAAACAGGGTGAACCTGCTGGCTGAGCATCTGTCCTGGAGCCTGAGAGGGCCCTTTGGTTGAGGAGGGGAGAGAAGACGATCCTGGGCTGAATTGTGGCTGGAGGGACCTGGACCACATCTGTTCCCTTGGTCTCTTGATCTTTGGAAGTCGGGGGCTGTTCTCATTTAGAAATGCAATTTCAAAATTCCTTCATCTTTTGATATTTGTGTTTCAGGTTTTTGGGGTTTGCTCTTAACTTTTTTTTTTCTGTAATACCAAGCTTTATGTATTTTCCACAGAGTGTCAGAAAAATCATAAGCACAAACTGCAGCTGGTGCTTCTGTGGCCAGTGAGGATCGGTGGGAGCAAATGAGGTGCTCCCCACTCTGCTTGGCTTTTGGGGGCACTGGCTGTGCCTGTCCTTCTCTGCCCTTTGGGGACAAAACTGGTGTAATGATTGCACTCGGATTCCTTCAGGCTCTAAACCAGACAAGAGGTATCAAGAGGGAAAATTTTAGGGTCCTGCCTGTATTGGGAAGGCTTGGGGGGCACTGGGCGGGCAGGGGCTCTGCTCAGAGGTGCTGGGTTGGGGTCTGCAGGGTGGGAAGCCTCAGAGCTGATCCTCCTGATACTGAAGGAGGGAAAAAACTTTCAGGATATAAAATTGGATGTAAATAAGGGGGGAAATGGTCTCTGGCTCTCTGGTGAAGTTGCTTAGGAGAAAGCAAAGCGTGTTGTGCTGCAGCTGCACACTCTGTCCGGGAACACCGAGGTCCTCAGTCCCTCCAGGTGACCTGGCAGCTTCCCCAAACCAGTGTCATCATAAGCCCGATACAAAGCAACAGCCCAACAGGGACTAACAATAGGATTCTTATTTAAAATTAAAAAAGATTAACCAGCTGAGGTTAACAAACCTTGGAATTCAGCAAACCCAGATGAATCACCGGGAGCAGAGCCTGCTCCGTGGCTGCCAGCCCGCTGAAGGGCACTCACTGCCTCACTCCAAACTCAAAAGAGCAACTTTCGACAAACACTCCATCAAAAAAACTGGCTAATACTTGCTTGGCTCCTAATCCTCCCTGAGCTGTTTCCCCGTTGCTAATCTCTCCCAGGAACCATTAATAAATCTTCCCTGGTTTGCAAGGCTGGTTCTGAACAAAGGCACCAGGAACCAGCAGTGCCCGGGCCCGTGGCTCTGCTATTTGCACGCTCCGCAGGAAGATCGTTTGGCTTTTAATGAGCCCACTTAAAAAAGAAACAAAAAGTAATAAATCAATCCCGTTAATCTGTAATAAATCGAAGCACTGAGGTCCTTCCCAAAGCCTTCAGTGACTGCCAGCTCCCGACGCGCTGGGATGCAAAATCACTGTTATTATTTAGAACAGCTCAGCAATGACAGTGCTACCTGGGCTGTGCCTGCCCAGCGATGCTTCCCTGCTCATCCATGGCTCGGAGTCCCTTGGGAGCAGGGGGGATCCCTCTGGAGTTTGTCTCCATCCCTCAGCATCTCTCTATGTCCTGGTTTCTTGGTTGGTGGCTCTGCTGCCAGGCTGTACCTGCTCTGTGTGTAGTCCCTGGGCTGCAGCTGAGCATCACTCCCCACTCTCCGGCTATGCAGCCTGGAAAGGGTGGATGTGTTCCTAAAATTAACCTGGAAATGCTGCTTTGATAGGCCACTGACAGCTACAGCGGAACCAAATTAGCGTTTGGAATTACCATGAGATAATTGGCCTCATTTACTATTTAAAGATGGGGGGGAAAAAAAAACCTCTCCCTCTTCCACACAACTGCAGTGGAGAAATGTTCAGGCGTAGATGATGTCCCAAAACATATCATTAAAGCTTTAAATAAATGTATGATGACATCTCGTGTTAAAAAAGACTTCCTTTGTGTTTCATAGGAACCAGGAATCCTTTTCAAAGTCGTGTTTTAATAAAGGATATTCCTCTTGTTTTTCCAGACACGCAACTTACAATATTTGGAGTTGTAAGTATGTCATTTGAATTCTTTCACACAGGGTGGATTTAAAAATCGTCTTCCTTAGAGATGCCTCTTACTTGCCAAAAGGTGAATGCCTCTGTCTGCTGCTTTTTGTCTTTTTCACTTGAAATGCTGCAGGGCTGCCCTGGTCCCACCCTGCAGATTGTAATGTTTGGAAAAGGGAGAAGATGAGAACTATCCCTTTCTCACTGTCATTAATTACAAGTATTAAACACCAAGGCAGCTACACAACATTACAGACAAAATAAAAATACGAGTTGGAGGAGCCAAGTTCTGCATTTGCTGCTCCACAATCAAGATATGTCTGAGCACATCACGTGCCAGAAGCACATCCCTCAGTTCCAGTCCTGCTCCTGGTCTGGCTGGTCCAGTCAGGACTCAGAGAACCAGGTCCATCTTTTTCCTGTGTGATGGTGGTGGTGGTGATGGTGGTGATGGTTGTGGTGGTGGTGGTTGTTTTGTTGGTCATGGTCATTGTGGTCCCCAAAGTGCATCTCCCACCCTCGTGCCAGGGCTGGGGATTATTTCCCAGGGAAGGTGGTGCCTCTCACAAGGGGTTTGGTGGGGTCCCCTCTGCCTGAACCCCCCAGGACTGGGGGTTTCCCACCACCAGGGTTGTGTGAGATCCCTCCCCAGCCTGTGCTGTGCTGGTTTGGTGGGAGAAGCCTTCGCTGTTGCTCTGGGCTGTCTCACGCTCTGCCTCGGCTTGTAATTAAAAATGAAATATTTGGGCTAAGTGCTGAAATTAAGAACACGTTTTTGATAGCTCACAATACAGAGGAAAGCCCTGGAGACCCTGATAGGGCAATTAGTGCCTCTCCACTTGCATTGGAGATGAGTCTTTTGAGAGAGGAAGCCTGTTCACTCCAGGGGATTTTTTGGTACAAAAATGCAATTACAGGGTATAAAAGGGAGCATTTAGAAACAGGCAAAGCGGGAATGAGTCTGGAGCCTCCTTTGCTGCAGGACTGGGAAGGCAGAAGGTAAGAGGTGCCCCAGGCATGACACCCCAAACACTTCCCCTTCAACCTGCCGGCCCTGGCAGCAGCTCCCATCAACTCGTGGTTTCATTTCCCTCCCGTCTACCTCTCCTGGCTGCTCTTCCAGGCTCGGCTGCTGTTCCAGGCTCATCCCTTGGCCTCAGCAATCTCCCAGCTGCTCCAGGCTCGGGAGGCTGGGTGGTTGCTATCCCAGTTGGCAATGAGCTTTTGCACTGCTCAGCACAAACCGGAGGAATCCACCTCCACGGTCCAAGCGTCGTGTGCCGGGGCCGCCTCCTCCAGCACAGCTCTGCTTCCCCCCTCCCTCTCTCCCTCTAAGCATCTCTGGAGCTGGTGTATTGTTTAGAACAAAGCCTCGAGGGGCTGTGGCAGCTTCCCATGATCAATCCCAACACCATGTTGTCCCGGGGTGATGAGCAAGCCGTGAGCCCTCGCACGGTGTGTGGGGGATGAGGAGGCTCCGCCACGCTCCCCACGCTCCCACCTGAAATCCAACTGGTGGACACCAACCCTGGGAGCCTAAAAAAGGTCTGCAGCAAGCAGAGCTCGTGGAGGAAGGTGGTGGTGACCTGCACAGAGCCAGCACAAGGGCAGGGCTGCCTGCACGTCCCTGCAGAGCGGGTGACACGGGGCTGTTTGTCTTGGACGTGCTGGGATGGGCTGGGAAACAGCGCCGACCTCTTGAGCAACACTGGGGGTTTTTGGCCGGCCGGGCAGTGGCTCAGCTTGTGTCGAGTTTATAAGATCTGATTTCCAAGATAGGAAAAAACCAAAACAACCCTGTCCAATGGCCAGACTCGCCCTTGCCAAGGAGGAAGGGAACAGTCGGTGTCGTTAAAGGTTAAATAACAGCAAATCACATTTCTCGTGCCGGGCCGTGTGTGCACTTTATTTAATCAGTGTTTAGTTTGTTGAATTACTTTTATTGGGAGTTAACTGTGTAGTGGTCTCAGTAGAACATCTGGTCCATGATTTGGAAAGAATATTCTTCGACCCTTGCTGACTGCAATTATTTTTGGAGACAAGTGGAGGCTTTAGAGGCATTAAGAAGATAAAATGCAGATTGTTTGCAGAAGGGTTTTTATTTTATTTTAGTGGCTTTCAGAGAGAGGAACTTTTATTATTTTTTTTGGTCTATTCTTAGCAGACAGTGCAGTGAAAACCGAGGAGAAGAGCTGGGAAGAGGCACAGATGTTCCCTTTGCCATTGGCTGGGCCAGGCACCCAAACCCAAGGCAGAGGGTTTGAACCTCCCTCCAAAGCTGCTGTAACATTTTCCAAGACTTGCAATAGCTCCTCTGCCCACCAGTTTCCCAGTAAAATCACTGAGGGCTGGTATGGGACTCTCTGTATAATAATTTGAAAGTGTGACAGTTGATGAGACAAGGATAGTTTACAAAGTAGAGAAAATGAAGGGCTTTGTGCTTCCTTCCATCGATGGGAAAATCACAGATGGATCCCAAACTTCCAGCTCTCAGCCCAGCACCAGTTCATCCAGACCACAAAAGAGAACAGCCAATCTCCCATTTGGAGTCTATGATGGAAGATGGGACACCTTTATCCCCAAGAGTAAATACTCTGAGGGAAAAAAAAGCAGCATTAATTTATCAGTATTATAATTTATAAGTATCTCATGAGTTAATTGTCGTTGTACATCGTATCCCTCCATGGAGGAGGCTGGCTGACTCCTCTGTGTCTGCAAGAACACTGATTTCAATTATTTAGAGGAAAATATACAATCTTGGTTGCTGTTTGCTCTATGATGGTGCATCTTGTCCAGGGGAAAACCACAGGCAGACAGGCTGGGAAATTATGGCTGTTTTTTTAGCAGGAAGATAAAGTAGAACTGTTAAAGCAGGGAAGGATGGATGCTTGGATATCCTGGGGGCATGTTGTTATGGGCAAGATCATGGATTTGAGAAGGACCTTGGGTGGCTTTGGAAGGGTCAATAATACTAATACTAATACTAATAATACAAGTATCATTGGTGTTTTATTCCAGCACCTCCATATACCTTGATTTTTTGGAAATGCCCTCATGTTTCAAAACTATGAAGGGAAGAAAAGGAAAGGGAGTGAACTTCTCAATCACAAACTGATTTTCAGTGTTTGTTATACTGAGGGGAGGGGGGAAAAGCCCTTTCATTCTCAATCCCCAATTGAAATTGTTCATTAAAAAGCACCAGTAAATTGGGATGGTCAAAAGCAAACTGCAGAGCAGCAAGATGTTACTTCCCACTAGTAGAGATGCTGTAGGTGTGTGTATAACCACAATATCAGCCAGTGGGGAAGATCCTTCCCCTTCCCAGGCAGCTTTTGTGGCACCACATCCCTGCCCAGCTTTTCCGGAGGGGTTTTTTTTTGTGTGTGTGTTTCTATTTGTTTTTCCCCTTCCTGACGTATTAATCTCGGGGTCATCTTAACCTTGGCTCTGTGCTGGCTCTGGGAAAGGGCTGTTGGCAATAACCCTGCTGGGGGAGCTCTCTGTGGGCACAGTATTTGGTAATAAAAGCGACGATTTTGGAACACGGAGCTCGCGCAGGGAGCTGCACGGCGGGAATTTGTTAAATAGCTTATTCTGCAGTAAATGCAGCATAAATTAAAAACGAATAAAACAAAAATCAGAACAAATGGAAACAGCTAGGAAGGACCCTGAGAGGGCAACTGCTCCATTCCTAGTGTTTCCAGGATGGATGTGTCTGCTGGATCTGGGCAATCGACACCCAGATCAATCACCCGCCTCCTCCTCTGGCTTTTTTACCATCAAACCATGAAATATTTGGGCCTTAGCTGCTTGTCAGCTTTGCTTCCTGTTTTCTCACTTTGTTGGAAGTCAACTCCAGTGTTGAGGGCTTTTTTTCCACCAGTAGGATACAAAATCAGGAGAATCAGTTAATGCCTTGCACTAAAGAAGAGCTGCTGAGCCTGGGTGTGTTTTCCCAGGGGTCTTTATCTGTCTGCAGCACAGTCGTGTGTGCATATCAAATTAAAATGAAATTATGGCACTGGGACCTCATGTAGATCAATTGTCTCTGTGTAAAATGCCTCCAGCATTTTAAACATGGGTTCCTGCACCAGAGCAATGGTCTTTGACTTAATCTGCCTTCCAGGACTGCTTTAGGGGTCACTTACCCCTTTCACACCAGAAAACTCACTGTCTTGCTGCAGAACCAGCAGTAAGATATTTTTTGAAGCAAGGAAATAATCAGGGTGGTTTTAATGAGGTTCAGGAGGAGGAGGAGTCTCTTATCAGCAGAAAATTCAGCTGTTTTCCCACTCTGTCCTTCCTTGACTTCCTCATTAACCCCTTGTCACCAAGGATGAGCACCAGGGCAGGGAATGCTGTGCAGAGCAGAAAGGGAGTCACTGCCAGAAGGGAAAAGGTTGGTCTGGAGGATCAGGTGAGTACAGAAGGACCTGAGTTGCTTGAACTGCTCTGATTTTTCAGTCACACCAACAAATTAGCAGGTTTTCCTAATAGAGTCATGGAATGGTTTGGGTTGGAAGGGACCTTGAAGCTCATCCAGTCCCACCCCCTGCCAAGGTCAGGGACACCTTCCACTATTCCAGGTTGCTCCAAGCCCCGTCCAACCTGGCCTTGGACACTTCCAGGGCATCCCCACCCTCACAGCCCCTGAGACAAAAAGTCTTGAACAAGACTGGAGTGGACTGGAGTGCCCAGGAAAGGGCCAGGATGGGTGTTGAGACCTCCAAGAGTAGCAAACATCCTTGACCTTGTTTCTCTCCATATTTTCAAGCCCCTGCAGTCCATGGGAAAGAGCATAGGTAGACTTTTCCATCCAAGCCCAGTGTGCTCTGTGGAGAAAACCTTGGAGGGAGCTGATGCCAATTTTAGCCCAAGTTCCTGCAGCAGAAATAGATCTTCCTGAGGACACATTTAAATTCTTAGTAAATTATATCTCAGGTTAAACTCTTTATTAAAGTGCCAGGGGGGGACTTCAGGCTGGCTGTATGTACCTCATCACAGGAGATGGGCTGGAAATTACAGCAATTTGGAAAGAACATGGATTTGAATCTTAGAGCATGTGGTGAAAGTCAGTGCACGGTGAATTATTCCACTTAATTCATGTTCACACACGGATTCAGCTGGAGCCAAAGCATTTCTATGGTATCACATTTCTCCAGTGAGCTACTGAGTGTAACACAAGACCTCTTGTAGGGGGGTTTGTGCTTGTCCTTGGGGTTTTTTGTTCCTTTTTGCCTTTGTTGCTCATCCAGAGGCAAATGCCAATGAACTGGATTTGTTCATCTGCTGTGTGCAATAACCACAGAGGTTATTATTTTATATTTAAGGTCCTTCCTGCTCTTGGCAGTTGGTTTTCTGTGGTGGTGGGAAGCAAAAGGCTGTGGAGGCCTCGTGTCCTGACTGGTGGAACTGCAGAGCCACGTGGATGTGTGGGGATGGTTAATCTTCATATAAGAAACTGCCATGGAAACTGTTTAATTGGCAGTGAGAGAAGCCCCAGCTGTTCCTGCAAGCTGCTGAAATTGTCCCTTTGCTCCAGATGTTCCTCTGGGTCTGTCTGTCACCCTACAGCAAACTCACTTCTGTGAAGGTACCAATGGCTCTAACACTTCTAGAGTTTGGCTGCAGAGATAACCTGACTTGTTTTGTCAAAAATAAGTCATGGAGCAAACCTGATGTGCAAAAATATGTTGGATAGCTCGAAGTAACAACCTCCTCCATCAGATCTGGGAGGTACAAGAGGTGTTTGTTCTCCTTCTCCACCCTGGCACTGGTGGAACTCCATCCATCCACTGTGTGGGTAGATAGGGCCATTTGTGGTTTCCAAATCAACTTTTTCAGTATTTTTCCCTGCACAAAACATGAACATTTAGTCCATGCACCCAAAATGAGATCAGAACAGCAAGTTTTCCCCTTGGCCATGGTGTGGGTGCCCTGTTGGCTCTGACTCCCACACTCTGAAGGCTGTTAAAAACATCTGTGAACCAAATGGCTCAAAGAACTGCAAGAGAAAAGCCTCAATTTTAGTTGTGGTTAAAGATTTTTTTGTTTTTCCCCTTTTCCACATTACCCACCTTTCTTCCCAGCCCTCAGCTCACACTGAGGCTGATGGGTGGTTTTGGGGTGTGCAGACAACAGCTCAGGGAGGCACGACCCTGCTCTCCTTCCCTCTTTTTGTCGTGTGGGGCCTCCAAAATAAAAATGTTAAGGGTCTGTTGACCAAAAAGGGTTGAAAATGAATATTTACACAGGACTCAATTGCTGTCCATCTTCCCCTCCACTTTAGTTCAATGCAAGGAGCAAATAACTGTGTGCAGTGATTGCAGCTATTGCTGAATTACCAACTTATTCATGACATGCAGATTACAGGGCAATAATTATAGCTGAGCTTGCTGTCATTTTATGAGATCCCCAAGTATCCAGATCTCCTCAGGGCTGGGGTTTTTTGCTGGTGTGGCAATGTTTAGCTCTAGCTGGAGGCACAGTTAAGTAGGGGAAGCATAAGTGCAAAATGTCCTTGAAAATAAGGTGACAACTGATGCTTTCTTTGTCTGGCCTCTGCCTTCTCCTGTTATATTCTGGATGTTATTCTGGGAGCTGGCACAGGCATTAGCAATGCAAAAATAACTCTGGGTTTGGCCACATCCATGTTGTTGTTTAGGAGCCCATTGGAATTTGGGTGATGGTGGGGAGGGAGGGATGAAGATGGCTGGAGTAGGAGGCTGGGAATTCATTAATTTTTACTCACTGTGGGATCCCACATCAGCAGGGTATTTTTTATTATTAATGCCAGAAAAGTTAAAGTGCAGAAAGGCACATTAGAATGTCAGGATAAGAGGAAATGACCTCAAGGTGCATCAGGGGAGGTTCAGGTTGGACACCAGGAGGAATTTCTTCACTGAAAGGATGGTTAAGCACTGGAATGAGCTGCCCAGGGAGGTGGTGGAGTCTCCACCCCTGGAGATGTTCAGGGAATGACTGGACGTGGCACTCAGTGCTCTGGACTGGAGGACAAGGTGGGGATTGGTCAAAAGCTTGATTTGATGGTCTTGGAGGTCTTTTCCAACCTAAATATTTTCACAATTCTATGAAAAAGTAACTCTATATGCTAAATTACATATATTATACATAGATATTATATATATTATATATATGTTAAATTCCAGGGGGAGTTTGGCCCTGAGACTTGACATGGCTGGCCAGGGAATGTTTGGGCTGCAGGGAGGGGAGCTTGAAAAGCCCTGAGGTCTGACTCAGTGGCACAAACCATCTCCTGGCTCAGCATCTGGGAGGTCCTGGACAAGCCCTGGTGCTCCTGCACCTCGTGGGGGACCCTCAGTGAGCACAGGGGCCACCCCTGGGGCAGGAGGTCCTCACCTTTCTCTACCAGCAGGGTGGTTTTAGGCTGGTGTGGGTGTGCGTGGATTCTGCCCAGGGGGGCACTGCTGGAGTGCAGGTTAATTAGAGCTAATTGCAGGGTTCATACTCTCCGGGTTTGTCTGATACAAGTCAAACCATTTCCTGCTGTTCAGCACTTTGCAGACACGTGGCCAGAGGCGCTGGGATGGACGTGGATGTGTTCTCTGCAGGCACCCAGCTGGGCAAACACACACTCCTTTCCCTTTCCTCCCTGTGCGTGGACCTTGATGGAGCCAAACACCCCATCACAGCCTCGCTCTGTGCTCTTGGTGATGTTACCACTTTATTGTTTATTAATAAAGTGTTTATTAAATGGTGTAGAGTCCCTAAACCAGGTGAAATGGTCGGGTTTAGTTAAGCTGAGGGTTCCTGTGTGACTTGCCCACGCTGAGCCCTGGGCTTCTGTGGTTTGGCCCCCCCAAACCAGCACCTTTCTCTGCACAGCCTTGCAGCTGGTGTTGCTGGCAGCACTTTGCCTCCAACCCTTAGGAAAGCTCTATCACAGATCTACCTCCCAAAAAAATAGGAGCCAAAATATCTTAACTGTGTTCCCTGCAAGGGGACTTGGTGCATGAATTGATTAAATATTTACACAAGCTTTTAGAGTCAAATACTGCATATGAACTAAATTTTATCCTAAGTCATTAAATTTGTACTTTAAAGCTCGTTTTTAAAGTCCCCTAGTGGGGACATTAAAAGTGTATTTGATGGAGTTGATATAGTTGTAGTTCTGTGCTAAGATCCCAAGTGATAGAAGGGGAACTCAGCCCAGGTACTGGGGACACAGAAACAGGAAGATCTCAAACACAAAAGGGTCAAAGTTAAAGGTTTAAGAAGAAAAGCAGCATCTTTTTAAAAGGAATAAAAGGTGAGTTTGACTCCAAATGTAATTTTGTTATAAAAACTTCGGCTTTCTCACAAGCCAGGATCCAGAATGATGGTTTCATAGCCTTTGAGATGTTTCAAACAAGCAATGTTATTCCCCAGGAAAAAAAACCATCCCCCTCTCTCCCAGGTGCCCTCTGCAAATTGAATCCACAGTCCTGAAAACCCGGAGCTGGTACCAAGCATTTTAATCTTATTGAAAGTAAACAGTGAGCACCAATTTACATAAAAATCGACTTGTAAAATTATTTCAGTGTTAACATTGTGACACTGTAAGTATATTGGGTGACTTTGGGGCCGCTCAATGCTTTTTAAATGGATGCTGCTGCTGCTACAACAGATTCTGGTCGTGTTTGTTTTCAGATGTTTGTAGGAAATTATGTGGATTAAAAAGCTCTGCTTTAGGAAAAGCCCGAAGGAAAATGAAATGAAAAGAAGGAGGATATTCTTCAAGGACCACTGAGTCTGGAGGTCTTTTGGAAATATTCCTGGCAGGAGGATTTCAGCAGGGTGGGAGGTTTGGGAGCCTGGAGGATGCTCCAGAGGAGAGCATTTGGTCCCAGGTGGGTGATGTTTGCTGGCACTGAGGGTCCCCCATGTTTGCTCAGACTTTTCTTCGTGCTGTTCTCCCTCAGCTCATTTTCTCCATGTTGTCTGAGAAAGCTCTGGGAAGGAAAATGGGAGTAAAAATTGTCTGTGAGGGCAGAGAATGAATTAAGGAGGGAGAAGGGCCCTGGCAGCGGGAGCGGCTGGAGCTGAGCTGGCCCTGGCCTGTGCTGTGTCACTCATTGCAAACAGCTCTAAATTATCAAACCTTCAGCCCTCTTCAGTTATTGGATGAAACATTTTGGCTTGTGGTGAAGAGAAGCTCACAGGAGATGCTTTAATGGCTGCTTCTGATCTTAAAACCAAACAGTCCCAGAACTGCTGCCTACGCCGAGAGAAACATCCCTGGCATTTACTGCATAAGGATGTGCTGAAGTCTATCCCAACACAGAGTCTGCATTTTCAGATGTTTGGAGATTACTTTTATCTTCTTCCCTCTATTAAATATAGCTCAGCTCTGCTGCTTTTCCCACGAATAAAATGTGCTGGCTGTTCCTTCCAGGAATCATCATTTTTAAGGCGCTGTTCAGCGGCGCGTTCGCCCGTGTTTGTGCTAGATGGGATCACTGTTGTGTCATCCACAGGGTTCCCTCTGCACTGGGATTAATTTTTGGCTCGTTTATGTAGGAAGAAGCCTTCACTGCTTCACCACTTTGTATGGCTTCTAAACCTGAGTATGTTGCAGATTCTTTGGAGAAGAGAAGGTTGTGTGGAGACCTATAAGGACTCTGTATCAGGAGCTGTAGTGATAGGAATGGGTTCAAATTGAAAGAGAGCAGAGTTAGATGGGATATTAGGAAGAAATTCCTCCCTAGGAGGGTTGGGAGGCCCTGGTACAGGTTGCTCAGAGAAGCTGTGGCTGCCCCATCCCTGGAAGTGTCCAAGGCCAGGCTGGACAGGGCTTGGAGCAACCTGGGCTAGTGGAAGGTGTCCCTGCCCATGGCAGGGGGTGGAATGAGATGAGCTTTCAGATCCCTTCCAACCCAGACCATTCCATGATTCCATGATTCTCTTATCTGGAGCTGAGGAGTTTTGCCATGGCTGGAGCATGGAGTGAACAAGACCAGGGAGAGGGAGAAGGTCTCACCTGGTGGTTTCTCAGGCTGGAGGTGCTGTTTGCTGGTGTGAAGGGCTGATTTTCATGGTCCCCTCTGAAGAATTTTGGCTGGGGGATGCTGATGGGGTTGGTGAGTCAGCATGTGATCCCTGGTATCAGCAGAGAAAAAGCAGGATAAGGGGAGCAGCTCCTCATCCCTGCTGGAGGAGGGATGCTCTGCTCATCTCCTCCCGAGGAGAGCCACCACAGGGAGGAGGAATCACACATCTCCAGTGCCAAATGCCATCTGACTCAAGGGAAGGAAAATCACACCTCTTTATTACACAGATTTATCTCGCTGTGGCAGAGCCCCACAACCACCACCAGATGCTCATCTTCTCAGTTGCTTTATTGGATTCTGGGACATCCTCGTAATTGCTGTGAGTGGGAGATGATTCCCCAGCATCTGGCATGTGTTAATACTGATTCAGAGCTCTTATCAATCCACTTAGGAGAGCGTGGACATGCTCTCTGTGCAGGCAGAGGCAGCCTGGAAATTCTAAAGCATCATTTGATCCTATTTTTCTTCCTTTGAATTGCTGCTGAATGACTGAGTCCTTGCCACCAGACCTGCTGCAGGGTGGGCAGTTGGAGGCGGGGAGACATCACCCAGATTTCGTCCCAGTTTCTGACAATGGGTAGGAAAATGCTGCCCAATTCCCCCCAGCCTTCCCCCAGGTTGTCTTGCAGGAGATTCTGGAATGCTCTCCCAGCACAAGTTTCTCCTCAGCCCATCAAAATCCGTTTAGCACAACAGAAGCCTTCAGATGACTTAAAATTAATTCTGTTTTAATGTTTGGTTTAGGTTCAAGAGGTCTCCTGCTCCCTCTGAGGCTGGTGGCAGATATCAGTGAGCACAGCTGCTTGGGCACTGCCTCCAGGTCTGAGGGGGCAGAAGAATCTCAGCAGGTGGGTTTCACTGCTCAGCTCAGAGTGAGGAAAAAGGAGGAATAGAACTAGCGAAAAGCAGATATTTCAGGAATTGCTCCAAAGCTGCTGTTTTCATTCCAAGGAGGAACAAAAACAAGGGGTTTAGGCAGTTTTAAACATTTTTCTTCTCTTCCTCTGAGCAGCCTGGCAGGGTTTGGTCAAACAAGAGTTCATGCTGGCATGTGCAGCAACGCTGGCAACCTCCTGTTCTCCAGGCAGAGGTTTGGAGGAGGAGGTTTTGGATGGGCACAATGGTCCAGAAGAATCTGTTTGAAGGAGGGAATGAAATACTTCCCTGCATCCCTCCTGCCTGAGGAATGCTGCTGGGTGTTGAATAGCAGAGGAGGGCAGGGAAGAGGGATTCTCCAGGCTTGCAGGGCTCTGTCTAGACTTCCTAATGCAGTGGTGCCTTGAACTCCTGCCACGGCCTCTCGGCGCGTCCTATAAATGGAAGCGGAGGAGCTTCCCACTGCCAAAGCCTCAGTCATGTTAATGAGACCCCAGTTCCTGTCGGATTTGGCAGCCTGTCCCTCTAAACCAGTGAACTTGCAGCAGGTGGTAGCAAAGCTCATTTCCTAAAACCACATCCCTATGGAAGCAAAAAAGCCCCACCTGACTTCCTGTGGCGAGGCGACTGCATCTCCCTCCAGTCTGATGGAGGATTCCAGGTGTGGGGATGGATGTTCCTGCACGGGAAACCTGGACACCAGCACTCCACAGAGATGATATTTGGGTTGGCACATCACTCTCGTCATCTTGGAAAGGTGACACTCACTTCCCAAAGCCCGTTCTGTTGGACATGTTGGGAAGCCTGTCTTGCTGGCTGTGTGAGGCTGCAGCCACCACAATCCATCTGGTTTTTGGGTGTTTCTGTTCTCTCTGGCTCCATCAGAGCTCATTTGGGTCACCGAGTTCATTTTGGTTTAGGATGCATTTCCTTCTCCACCCTCCTTTCTCCCCTTTCTGGGATCAAGTTTCTCACAGCTGAGCTACTCTTGTCTCTCTGTTTCCCACTGAAGGCTGAAGCAGGGCTTGGTCACCTCTTATTTTTCCAAACCCAGCCCAAGCAATGAACATCTGCCAGGAGATAGAGGTTTTCCTAAGCCTGTGGTTTGAATAACTCATTCTTTGCAGCCTTGCTCCTCTTCCAGGCACATGCTGCCCATGAGGAGCGGGAAGGACAACTCTAACCACTGGATGCTGCCTCCTGTGAACCCACAGCCTGGGATGGTGGGAATGCAGTGCTGGCCAGGCTCAAAACCTCCTCTTTTCACTCTCTCTGGGGTTGTGGTGTGACCTTTCCCATGGCACCTGGAGTGGAGAAATGTCCTCCCCGCTCTTACCACCAGAGGAATAATGAAGTGGCTGAGGCAGAAAATGACCAAACATCTTCCAGATGCCAGTGCCTTCCACCCTGACTTGCAGACACTTGGCACAGCCCTGGCCTGAACTCACCTGACCAGTTCTCTTCCTGCAAGCCCAGAGAAGCACCACTGCTCCTCTTAGCAGGCAATGAGAGTCTCAGGTGTATTTTAAGAGAGCCTGAGTTTTCCCAGAGTGTGTCGTGGTTCATGCGCCGGCAGTTTTGGGTGCCTGGGAAGACACTCCTTGGGAAGCGTTTTCCAGAGGTGAAGTCCCAAGCCATGAAGGTCAGATCCTGCTTCTCTGTATGTAACAGGGGAGGCAGCTCAGATCTTTTGTCATTTTGGTGCATGTTCCTGGACTCCATCAAGAGACAGAACACACCTGTGCAAAGCTCTTGGCTGCACCTGAACAGGCAGAAGTGGAATCACTGAAGTGCTGCCTAAACCCCAGTGGGAGGTTCATCCCCAGTGTGAATTTGGGCTTTGGATTAGCAAACTTTTCAGATCTGCTGGAGCATCTGGTTTATGGTATTTTTGCCCCTTGAACTGACATGTCACACGTGGGTTGTTCCTTTCATAAGGAAATCTTGTTGTCCATAGGGATGTGCCAGTCCAGCCCGTTCTGTGTTAGGTCTGTGATCCCAGGAATGATGGAGGAGGTGCCCAGACTGAGCAGGAGGATGGTCAGTGAGGGCCTTGCATCTCGGATGAGCACTCACTTCTTAATTTACATGCAGGGAAATGGGCCCAGGGAGCTCCTGTGCTAAACTCCATAACAAATGCTGAGAAAACCTGCAAAGTCCCGCTCCCATTTCCTGCTCTAAATCCCTCACAGCAGACCCTGATATCCAGGGCTGGGAGCCAAAACCTCTCAAGTCAATGGAAAGATTCCCCTTGACTTTAATGGTCTTTGCATGAGTGCCTAATTCCTTCCTGTTCACAGGCTCTCTTGGACTTGGTTGTGGAAACAACTGCAGCTATAAAGTGCTGCAGTGAACTGTAAACCCTTCAAAGCAGTGCGAGGGCAGATCTCCTCGTCCTCCCAGACAGCTGGAGTGGGTTTTGTTTGACAAAAAGCCTGATGTATGTCCTTCCAGCCAGCGCCGTGGCTACAGCGTGAATGAGTGTCTTTAACAAATACATCCATGCAGACAGGGCTTGTGGTCAACCCTCTGGGGCTGGAGCCAAGCTCTTCCCAGCGGGATGGGGAAGGCGAGGGAGCCTTGTCTGTGCGAGGCAAGGCCGAAGCTCCGCGGCTTTGACGTGCCAGCAGCTCTCAGAGCTGTGGTCCTGGGTCTTGCAGCTTCCAGGAACTGTTTCAACCCCCTTCCTGCAAAGGCCATGTCGCTGGTAGAGAGCAGATGCTGCCCAGTTTTGTCAGCTCTTTGTGAAGTGGAGGGGTTTTGCCCCAGGCTGTGGCACCGTTGGCCACCTTTGTGCCTCGCTCCACAAAACTCTGGCAGAACACTTAAAGAAATGCTTAACTTCAAGGATGTAGATGTGTTTCACTGACTTCCACAGGGATTTGGCTGGGGAGGGGTCTTGGTGGGCCTGGCTGTGTGATGCCAGCAAGGGGCACATGGGATTTCCACCCAGCACTTGGGACTGTTGACTGGCAACTCAAAGCACAAGATCTACCTGCTCCAGTCTCATCATACAAGGAGCAGCAGCAGCAAACAGATTTTTGAGTCTTTATCAAGCCCAGAGACACCAAATCTGACTGTTAGAGGAGCTGTGCCTTTCACAGGATTTCTGCCTGAGTGTTTGAGAAGAGCAGAAAGTGTTTTCCAGCATGGAAGGTTGCTCAGCTGTCTCTCGGGGGAGAGGAGGCTGATGGTGATTGCTCTTTCTTTCTTTATGCCCTAAAAACTTTCTGGATGAGGGTTTAGGTTGTTTAACTTGTTTTACTTCGCTGTTTGAGCACTGGGTGGGTTTTGCTGTTTTTTTTTTTAAATCAAGGACAGCTGGGTGTCTGCATCCCCCACCTGCCCATCCCTCCCATCGTGTGCAGCCCGAGCACAAATGTGATCCCAGCGTGGCCTCAACGGCTTGGGCACAAATCCCCACTCCTGGAGCCACGTCCTGCAAGAGGAACCTCGACCTCACTTTTGCAGCTGTGCATTCCTGAGATGAAAAGGGCAGCTCAGGCCTGGGCTGGTCCTGTAGCACAAAATCAGACCTGAGCAAATCCAATCTATGGAGAAGTCTGGCAGCTGCAGGAGCCGTCTGGATGCTGGAAAAATCCGTAGTGAGCTCCATCAGTGACCCCCTCCTGCCACCCTGATTTGGGCAGCTCCCCCCCCTTTGGCTTTCTGAGTGCTTGCCCATGGGTCTCACTAGAAATGTGGCTGCATGAAGACTCCCAGTTCAGGGATTCAGGAATTACAGAGTGCTGGCCTGGCTCTTTCAGGAGGATTATTTGCTTTTTAAAGTCCCTGTCTGCAGCCCAGGCTGATCGTTCTGTTGCAGGGGAAAATAGGCAGCAGCCTGAGACATGGATGAAGTAATGAGTTCATCTCTCTGCAGTCTAGCCAGGTACACATTTTTTTCTCCCAGAACTTAATTAAAATGAATACATCTTTCCTCACATTTTTATGAAGCTCAATGGCAAATAATGGTCACTCTCTAATTGCACCAACATTAACTTGTTTTCATGGCTGCAAAGGACGGATCCAAGGGCAGTATCCTTCCTTCCCCTGCATTTGGCTACTCTGGGATGTGCTATCTCCAGCAAGCAGCCAGAAGCCTGGGTTTTATATCTGCTCCAGCACTCCCATGGGCTGGACTCTGCTGGGGAAAGGAGGAGACTTGTCCACTGGAAAATACATGCATTGTTCTGGGATGGCTGATAAATCCTTACCTGGCTTATGCTCTCCCTGTTCTGTTTTGCTGGCATTGCCACTGAATCCAGGGACTTTATCCTGTCTGGGGTCTGGAGCCCTCTGGCCACTGTTTGCTGCCCTCTCAGAGCCTTCTCCTGCCTGGACCCCTCCTGGTGTCCCCTGGGCTCACTGGGCAAAAGAAAAATAAAAATCCAGGCAAGTTTGATTGAGTAATGAGTTTAGTTACTTTACCCAGCCACAAAACTGGGCATATTTATCCAGAGCAAGATGAAACAGGGGCCCTCCTGGTGCAACAAAATCATCTGTCCTACAAAGGAAACCACCAGCTCCGTTGTGGGAAGGGTGTAAAGCTGTTGATGGAAACAAGCATTCCATGATCCTACGGCCTTCCACTCCTCTGTGATTTTGGTTACTCCAGACTATGATCAGCACAGCCAGACCAGTCCTCACCCCAGTCCTGCTGGCTACTGGCCCCAGTAGTTGCTGGTGAGCGTGGCTGGCTGACGTGCCTGGTGGCAGGTTTCACAGGGGGCTGGTGCAGTCCCAGAAATGCCTTTGTGCTCCTTTGTGATATCCCTCCGGCTTGGTTGCATCCTGCAGGGTGTTGGTTATGAAACTGGCTGGTTTTACTGTCACATTTTAAAAAATTCAGCTCCTTTTTAATATGGAACTGGTTTCTGGTGGCATGAATATTGCAGTGCCGTGTTCTGCTCGAAATGACGCTGCTCAGACGCGCCAAAGCTCGGGGAGGCTTTTTAACATCTCCTCGTCTAAACCCGACCAGTCCCACGGAATCAAAATCTAACCTAAAATACTAAAACTGCTCAGATTGCACTTCATGCATGGGAAATGAGCACATTTAGAGGTGGAGGCGCTAG